GAATTGGGGTATATTCTTGAGGGAGTTGTAAGGTTATCTCTTTGGCCTCAAAAGAAAGAAAAAATTAGTGAATTTGTTGGAAAACCCTTAGTGTGGATAACTAAGGTAGTGGACGTAGACTTTGGTTGATAAAGTCAAACCACTCTAAATCGCTGTGCAATTTCTTTCAATTTTCTGCAAAAGCTTCCACCAAAATTTTTATTGCCAATTCACCCCCCTCTTGGCCGATTCAGTCAATCGATTAACTCAACACTCACCACGTAGCGCACCATTGTCATCGCGTAAAAAATCCACCTCACCACGTAAAGATCGAACCTCATTATGCCATGCACCATTATCTTCACGTAAAGTACCGACCTCATGACGCAAAGCACCGACCTCATCATGTAATTCTCCTAACTCATCCCGTGGAGGTGGAGAACAAGGAGATAAATGTCGTGGCCTCTTTGCCGATCGCTTATCATGAGGTGATGGTGGAGAAGAGGCTCGATGATGTGATGGAATAGGTGATGGTGGAGGTGGAGAAGAGGCTCGATCAGGTGATGGCTCTCGAAGTGGGGGTGCTCATCATCCGTCCCATCAAAAAACCACTTACTAGCTTGCCACCAATCAGTGGCAAGCTCAGCCTCTGTGGGTGTCAGCCTCTATAATGGATAGTTGGCCTCATAACAATATAAAAGCTCAAACAAAGTTAAACTTGTACTAGTAATAACTTGTTTATATATACCATATATTATTTGTGTGTTAACTTACATCATTCATCGTCGTATATGGGAGTAAATCTTCCCAATCCAACATGCGGATCCTCTTCCAGGTAATAGCCCTAGGAATATCATTTGATCTTTTTATCGCATATGTCCGCATACTGGGGAAAGCCTCAAATATCCAAATCTACAAAACAATATAATACATAAACATTAGTAATTGTTAAATAATTAATTATAATTTTGGAAACATTATATAGAAATTCTTACCTTAAAGGCCCAAGTAAAGCCTGTCAAAGTGTATTTAGAACCATCGCCCCGCAAACATTTTTTGTCTTCAAAGGCAGACGACAACTTCTTATAGGTAGCTTTCCATAGATATGAACCCCACGGAAATAGGTTTCATGCATTTAGGTCCTCTACCAATAATATTAGGTTCTCGGAGATTGGTTGTCTGCCCTCTTTGCCTAAAAAACCGGCATGCAAAAGTAATAAATGGCATACTCGGACAACATCAAGGTCATTCATCCGAGTAAAACCATCTTTTATCAAATAATCTCTTCAAGTCGTCGACGTGTATACTCGGCTTCGACTTTGCCAGCTCAGGAAAAACCTGATATAACCATGATGGGTGGGCGATATGACTAGTGTACTGACCTACATCATCGTGTCCGAAGCGTAGACCGGTGATTAAGCAAAACTCCTCCCGCCCAAAACAAGTATACACCGATGCCGGAGGAAAATGAAACCATATCTCCTCATCACCACGTTGTACCCCCTCGGATAGATCGTTAGTCATGGTCTGAAGAAACAAATGTGTCAACATAGCATCTCCACCCGTATGTTGCACTTTCAGCCATGGCCCGAAGAAAGTATCCTCAAACAATTTTCTTTGTAGAGGTGTAAGCGTCGACGTAATTTCAGTGGCTAGACTTAATTTATTCCTTAAGGTCAATGCAGCCGAAAAAAATTTCTACAAAAACAATAAACATACCAAGTTAGATATACCAAAAACTACAAATTATACACTATAAACAGACATGATATTAAACAGTGAAAACAAAGCCAAATGTGTTTCAAACTAGCACGGTATTCACCCAAGTCATTATTCCACCATAGTTCACAAAATGCATCAGATAACATTCCAGAAGTAAGCACTTATATAAACATTTAAAAGGACAACATATAGGTTTAGTGCAGGTTCAAGGACAACATAAATAGTAGTAGTTTATTATTGAAACTTAAATTAGCAACACTGTGAAGTTAGTATTTGTCTTTGTTTTTTGGTTGAAGAAATACAATTCATTCAAGTTTCAATTTGCAGAATAAAAATGCAATTCATTCAAGTTTCAATTTGCAGAATAAAAGAAGTTTTTGAAACTTAAATTCGCAACACGAAAATGAAAATCGCAACGCGATTTTAGTTTCGCGTTGCGATTTTCATTTTCACGTTGTGAATTTGGTGTTGCGATTTAGGGTTTCTTCAACAAAAAGACAAAACAAAAAGACAAAACAAAGATAAATACTAACTACACAGGGTTAAAGACTAAACAGTTTAGCAGTATTGGCAGCAACCAAATGAATTTAGCAATCTTAGTGAAATGGTTAATCTAATAATAATATAAAAATTTCAAAATAAAAATAATGAAAAAACTAACCCTCGGTGGTTGATTTTCCATTTCTGACTGTGAATGGTTGTGAGGGTTGCTATGAGAGATGGAGATAGATGGATTTCGTCGGAAATGAGGACGGATTTTGTCGGAGATGGGGACGGATGTCACCATAGAGAGTGAGAGATGGAGATGGGACTGAGTTGTGCTTTAGGGTTTTAGGTTAGAGATAATTTACGATAATACTATTTACATTTGTGTTGCGAAATTAATATTGTGTTTCGCGTAAAAACATTTGACTTTCGCGTTGCAAATTTGACTATCGCGTTGCGAATTTGACTTCTGTGTTGCGATTTACAAATTCGCGTTGTGAATTTGGCAAATCGCAATGCGAATTTGGAAAATCGAAATGCGATTTACATATTCGCATTGCGAAATTGGAAACTGGATTGCGAAATTTGAGATCGCGTTGCGAATTTGTTGGTTATTTTGGTAAATCCAAAAAACGTTGGTTAAATTCGTATATTATAAGGCATTTTTTGTCACTGAGGTTATTTTCTCATATTATATTTACTCGTCCAAGAGTGTTTGTTTGAGCCGTCATCAGAATTCGGAACCTGTCTTGTCAACTGGAGTTGATTAGAGATGTAAATGAACAAAGCATTTTATGAATAAATTATTCGTGAGCGATTTTGTAACATTCATTTATTAAGTTGAATTAGCAAGTGAGAAATGTTTATGTTCATTTAATAAACAAACACAAAAGGAGAGATATTTAATTTGTTTTTGTTCATGACAAATATGTTTGAAATATCGTTTATTGGCTTACGTATTGTGTTATTTACTTGTTTTCGTTTTACTGTTTATATATTAGTCAATGTAGAGATTATAATAAACACATTATTAATTTTGAAGTTTAAACTGTGAAGCTTAATGAGTTTAAGGATTAATGATGTTATTTCATTTTTTTGGCTTGCAAATAATGTGATAAAAGGAGTGTTGATTTTATTTAATAGTTTTGTTTTATTTAATTTTGTTTGTTTGTTTACTCAATGCTTTTTTTAAATATAAAAGAATATTTTGATTAATATTATTCAAAAATAAATAAATATAAATATAATATTAAAATTTTAAACTAAAATGAACAAAATATAAATATTTTAAAAAATAATTATCAATATAATTTTATTCAATGAAATCTTATTTAAACCTGATTTATTTACATCGCTAGAGCTGGTTTGTTTAATATAAGAATTTAATTGAACTATAATCTTGAGGAAAGTTATGGAAACAACGATTAATAAATATTAGAATAGAATAAAATAAAAGCTCAAAGGAATTACTGTTATCCTTAGAAGTTCATGGTTCGATCACTAGCGTATGTAGAGATGTTTAAAATTTTATTATTAAATAATTTAAAACATTTAGAATAAATACCATTTTATAATCAATTCGGTTTAATAAAAAAAGGTTAATTGATAATTTACTCCTTAACAATATATTATTTTTCAATTTAGTACCTAATTAAGTGTATGTAATAACCTATATTAACGTTATCCGAATCACCTAAAACAATTACTTCCTTTAAGAAAAAGGTTAAACAGTTTATACCTTAAAATATAGGATATATTATGTATTTAGTTACTTATTTGTTATTGCTGTTACATTTTAGCTATTTAACTATTTTTTCTAAAATCATACATAATATTACGTTTTGGTTAGGCATCGTTAAAAAAATAAACAAAATTAATGATGTGATTTTTTTTTATTTTTTTAATGACAAATTGATATTACTTTATGCTGACTGTTATTCTTTTTAAAGACCATTGACCAAAACGTAGCATTTTGTATGATTTTTAAAAAAATAGAATAACCAAAACAGAATTGAGGGAATAAGGTGGCTGACTAAATTCATAGTTTACCCTAAAATGTTTTTTAATGTTTTCCCTTTATCCTTTATCATTAACTTTGTTACGTGTTTTAGAACCAACATTTTAAATTTTAAAAAGAAAATGTAAACTACAAGTTTAGTACCTCAATTATCAATTCTATTATGTTTTAGTCATTTAATTATTTTTTAAAATTATGCCTAATATTTAATTTTGGTCATTAACCTTTAAAAAATTAATGATGATACTGACATGTCATCGTAAGGTAGTGTCACATCATCATTGAAAAAAAATAAAAAAAGCCACGTTAATAATTATGTTAGTTTTTAACAATAAATGATCAAAATGAAACCAAAATGTAATATTATATATAATTTTAAAAAATATGAAGGTTGTAGAAGGCTGAGACGGTGACAACAACATAAGAGAAAAGCTTGAGATAGGAGACTCAATGAAGAGAGAACGTATTGAAGAAATCAGACAAAGTGGTTAGCAGATAAGCTATTAACGAGCCAGATAAATTTTATTATTATCATTTATAACGATCAGTGATTTATTATAAATAAATAATATTAATAATTGATTTATTATTTTTAAAATTTTAATAAAAAATAAATATTTATTCAAATATTTAATAATCATTTATATTAATAATAATTTATGTAGTTTATCTGTTCTTTTATCTCGCTCGATTTTATGGAAACTTTTCGCTCACAATGAGAAGGGTTTGCTGGATTGGGCTAATTGGATCATAAATGAACAAACTCGGAGAAGGCATCAATGGGTTTCAAAGTTGGGTTTCAGTTTTCGAAGACTGCGCATTTTGGGATGATCCTCTTTCTTCGTTGCTCGAAGGGTTTTGATTTCGAATTTTTTCCGCTCCTCCCTCTTCCATTTCGTTATCATCTACCTGCCTTTTAGGGAGAAAACTAAGAAAAAGTCTCTGTTTCTCTAAAACTAAGAAAAAGTCTCTGTTTCTCTACAACGATGGAGTCTTTGGCTATCCTACAGTGCCGTCCCCGCCATCTCCGCTTATCTTCCAATCACCACCGTCCGTATTTCCCGAAACCCATCTTTTCCCTTTCCTTCAGGACTTCGTCTTCATCGTCGCCGTTCAAATTACCCTCCATCAGGGCTTCATCTTCGTCCTATGAGCCCCCGAAGCCTTCGGTTTTCCAAACGGTGGCGCCTCTCCTCAAGGCTACTTGCATTTCTTTCACCGCTGCCGCCGCTCTCTTCTTCGCGCGCTTCCACGTCAAACCCGCGCTCGCCTCGCTGACCGCAATGCCCACCATGGGGACCTCCTCGACAGACACGGGTGTGTCCTTACAAGATCAAGAAAAAACCCTCCAACAAAAGTTAGGGAAGAACCCGAATGATGTTGAAAGTCTACGGTCTCTCATGGAAGTCCGTATCAAATTGAAGAAACTCCAACAAGCTACCGAAGTTATCAACCGTTTGATCCAGCTTGAACCCGAAGACCCCGAATGGCCAATGTTAAAGGCCCAAATTCACAGCTTCGCCGGCGATTTCGAGCTGGCCAAGAAGGAGTTCGAGGAAATATTAGCTAAAGACCCGAATCGTGTCGAGGCATTTCATGGCCTTGTAATGGCTTATTCGGATTCGGGTCAAAAATTGAAAGAACTCGAAAAGAGAATTGAAGGGGCGATGGACAAGTGCAAGAAAGAGAACAAAAAGAAGGATTATAGGGATTTTAAGTTATTAATTGCGCAAATTCGGGTCATTGAAGGGAGACATTCGGAAGCTCTGAAGGTTTATGAAGCTTTGGTTAAGGAAGATCCAAAGGATTTCAGGCCATATTTGTGCATGGGGATTATCTACACTTTATTGAAGAAGAAGAATGAAGCTGAAAAACAGTTTGACATGTTCAGGAAACTTGTTCCTAAAAATCATCCTTACAGGGAGTACTTTGTTGATAACATGCTGGCCACTAAGCTGTTCGCCGAAAAAGCCGAAAGGGAAGGCGCAGGGAAGCGTTGAGAGACCTTGGTTTTGTTTTGTTCATTCAAAGAGGTCTTTTCTGTTTAAAATTATTTCCTCGTATTTTTCCCTTTTAATTCTCTTTCAGTTTTATTGCAACAGTTGAGCTTTTGGCCTTCTTCTTTATTCAATGTTGCATTATATAAGTCTTTGGGTTTAGTATAAAGTTAAACATTGCTTAGTTGAGCTAATCTTTATCTAATATGGAAGTTAACTTCAGGCTTCTGTTATCCTTTCTAGTTGGTTTACAATCATGTATATAAATGTTTCTTCATCACTGGTAATTGCCCTTAGAAAAATGACAGTTTATAATCATGAATGATAATTACAAATCAGAAAACCTGCTTTTATTACTATCTTCACTACCGATCCTTGAATTCCCGGCTTTGTTAAAGTAATTACTTTCAAGTAAGGTTTCCCTGAATGTATGAAACTACCTTGCTCTCACTACATTTTAAATTAAGTATGATGATACTGATGCCTTTTGTTACATAACCTTCTTTGTTGATTATGTATGGCCATAGTAAAGATTTGATCAGTCATTTAGTGAGTGATTTCTGGTTCCCTTCTTCGGTGTGGTACTTATGGTCGTAAATGAAGTGATAAAGCTGCAGTTCATGAACAATATGAGAGTAATTCATAAGAGTTGCAGTGGCTAATGGAAGATATATAGATGTCTTTACATTGGGTTTTAATGGAAGGTTTGCAGTTAGCATGTGTGTATGTATTGGGGTCAATATTTTGTTGAGCATGATTAGAATGGTTAACACGGTAGAGATTGCTTTATGATAGCCATTTAAACTGATGTTACATCATAGTGGCTTTATCGTGAGGTTGCTGTGATTAGTGAGAATTTACCAGAAGTGATTTTGTTTAGATAAGAGGGCAGCGGGAATACACAAAATTTGGAATTCTTCCTGAAGAAGAAAAATGGAGGTTAGAAAATAATTGTTAATTGGCTGTGTTCATCTTACAGATTGTAGGAATTTTGAAATAATTCTGTTTATTTTTTGTGGTAAATGGCTCTTCATCTATCTTCCAGACTGCGATCCCTTTACCATTGCCATTGTGGCATTTTAGCGAACCTGTTGGTTAAAACCCTATTGATAACCTCGGATTAGGTTCAATTAAGCATGGTTTAGATATATGCAGGACATTCAGAAAATAGATTTATAAGGCCAATTTTCTTCTCTTTTCTTTTCCTGGTGAATGATGAGCAACATGAGGCTATGATAATTCTTGCTTCATGCATAATCTGAGAATCTTTGTGACACTTAATTGGTAATTCATTTTGTTTCCACATCAGTTTTCCTTGCATGCTAAAGGTTGCACTAAACTAACCAATTGCCTCAATATTCAATATTTCGTTCTTGTTGTTTTCCAGTTCGAAGATGTCATGTACAATGAGTGGAGGTTGCCAAATCTTAATCGCAGAATATATAGTTGTGTATGTTCACAGATTAGCTTGATTTCCGTGCGTTGCTAGATTATTGGTCGACCAAGGGAAATGCTCGATTTGCTCGACTGGTTTGAGTCCAACTTAGCTGTCACATATTCCCATCAAGTCCGTGCTCGATTAACCATTAGAACCGGCACATTCAACTCCGTAGATGTTAATCTTGTTTCTATTTCAATGCTGTGCATTTTAATGGACACAACATTCATACTTTGATTAATTCATGTTTGCTTGTTCGGAGCTAATATTTTTCTGCCTGTGCATGCTTTAATTGTTTGGTGTAAGGTTAGCCTTTTAGTTAGGTGGCGGGATGTGAGCGTTCAGTGCTGAATAAGGTACTATTAACTGCTTTTGTAAGTTGAATACAACAGCATTGGCATTACCCTCTACTTTTAGTGCTGCTTTTGATTTTCAGACAGATGTCTGTGACATGGCAGACTTATCTGAATTCTGAACCATACGAAGACAAATGATGTCTGATACGGACTGTAATTGGTACAAATATTCCCCTGTTTGCTTCAACATTTTCTTCTGCTATTTTTTTCCCTGCCCTCCTCTTTAGTTTAGACTTCATTCTGAAACAAAAGCATTGTTGCATGTAAGTACCGAGTTTTGTTGAAAAACTATCAATGTCTTCCCACAGTGAGCTGATTAAACTATTGTAGGTGACCGGGAAAGTAGGAGTGAACAAAACTCGATTCGACTCGAAAAATCATTTTTTTTCAATTTTGAGTTATTCGATTCAACTCGAATTATCGATTTGGTTTTAGAGTTTGAGGCGAGTTAAAATTTAAAAATTTTGAGTTACTCGAAAAACTAAAAATTTGACTGATTATTTTGACAGTTTTGTGATTTAATCCTTGATTTTTTTATTCCTTCAATTCCTCCTTCATTTTAAGTTTATTTTTTATCAAATTTGAATCACATGCTCCTAAATCATTGTAGAATACCTATGTGCTTTCAATTCTTCTTTTTGATAACAAAATTTTATTTTTCAATTTAGTCCCTCAACTTTTCATGATTTTTTTATTTCTTCAATTTATCCTTCATTTTAAGTCATTTTTTTACCAAATTTGAATCACATGCTCTCATATCACTATAGAATACCTATATAACTTCAGTTCTTATTTTTTACTAAAAATATACTCTCTTTTCTTATTTAGTCTCTTAATTTTGCATTTACTCAATTTGGTCTTTTGATTGCAATTGTTTGTAAATTCTTTCTTCACATCTATTCACCGACTCTTTTATACTCTCATCAATACTTTACCCTCAAAATATTTTCTTTAAAATATAATATTATAAATATATTTTATAATTTTAGATTGTATTTGATATATTAAATAATATTATATTGTTTAAAGAATATATATATATATATATATATATATATGGTTAGAGAAAAAATAAAAAAACTAGAATCAATCTTTTACTATAATACTATGAATAATTATAATAAAATTTGTACAGAAACTAGAATAACTCGACTCGACTTGAAAAATTTCAAATTAAGTTCAAGTCACAAAATATGGCTCATCAACTCGAATAACTTGAATTTTTTTGACTTGACTAGGCTGAATGCTCACCCCTACGTGGAAGGTACAATTTACAAAATCTACCATAATTTCGACCTCTAAATTGAAGGTAATTACGTTTAAGCGCTCTCAAACTTACGATCTTTTGAATGTTGCGACGACGACAACAATGTTAACCAAGTTAACAGGGAATGTCTCAGGAAAGGTGGGTTAATATACGGCTAATATACAGCATTACCGGATATATTAAAATGTATTTAATAAATTCGGTTTAGCGGTACCTATTATGTTGACAACTAATAATGTTTTAGGTAGAAAATATGAAAAACTATTAAAAAATTTGGTAACCGGTAAACTTTGGTTATCGGTAAGTATCTATCCTTTTTATAAAAGTGTCCATACTTTTAACATATCAAGTAAATTTTACCGGTTTTGTCATAATGAATCTGGTTTTGTCATATTTTTACCTGTTATATTGTAAATTATCTATCCTTTTTATAAAAGTGTCCATACTTATTTCACTGTGAAAATATATTTATTATTATCTTTAGTTAATATTGTTAAATTTAAAATCTAAATAATATTTTATAAAATATCAAAACAATCAAATAATTTTTTGTGTAAATGAAATTATTAAATTAATATTGTAGGTGGAAAACATGAAACACTATTAAAAAAATTGAAACATAAATTACATAACTTTCAAAAAAGTATATATCATTTTTATAAAAGTGTCCATACTTATTTCACTGTTGAAAACATATTTATTATTATATTTGGTTAATATTGTTAAATTTAAATTCTAAATAATATTTTATAAAATATCAAAACAATCAAATAAAATTTTGTGTAAATTAAATTATTAAATTAATATTGTAGGTGGAAAACATGAAACACTATTAAATAAATTGAAACATAAATTACATAACTTTAAAAGCAGTTTTAAATCCTAAAAAGTGTCGATACTTTTAAAAATATATCGATCCAAAACGATATACCAGGTAAAAATATGATAAAACCGGTAACAAATGATAAAACCGGTAAATTTAAAAGTGTCGATACGTTATATAAGGATCGACACTTTGTGAATTTAAAAGAGAAGCAGTTATAGCGCCTATAATGTGTCGATACTTTAAAAAAATATATCGATCCACAACGATATAACAGGTAAAAATATGATAAAACCTGTATCAAAATGATAAAACCGGTAAAATGATACCGGATATATTGAAAGTGTCGATACTTTCGTAAGTACGTGTAATAAATTATCGACACTTTCAAAGAAATAGGTAATTATCCTTTCGAAAGTATCGACACCTGACATAAAAGTATCGACACTTTTGTATTTGTATCGATTAAATATAAATAACATATCCGATGAAAATATAAAGGCCATAGCTAAATATCCTCTGAAAAAAGATAGAACGGACGAGTTTTTGAAATCGAAGAGTAATTGTTGCTGCATTTCAGAAGGCGTTTCTAAATCGAAGTTTGTTTGTTTGTTGCTGCAGTCGAATCGAAAAGTATGTTGTCGAAACCCTAATTTTTTATTATTACAGTAATCGCGATAGGGTTTTTTATGTGTTGTTTGGGGTTTTGGAGTAAGGAAGCATTTGGGACCGATTGCAGGTAGAAATAGATATTCAAGGAAAAATATAAATGCCGATACTTTTATTAAATATTATAGGTAGAAAATGATATTATAGGTTGTATAAATGTGCCGACACATTTTGGTGTGGCCATTCAAATTCTTTTGAAGAAAACCGTTTTACCACAAGAGTAGTTATCTATATTTGTATATTGAAAAGTGTATGTAACAAAATAATTTGATTTGCGTAAACTGATATATGAAGGAAAAATGGAGTCAATGGGTTGGAAAATTGTTGGTGGAGCAGATGACTTTGAAATTGAGGCCGAGACTCGAAAGCAACCAAAGGGTGGATATATGTACTTCTAGTAAGTATCAATGTCTTTTTGTTATTATTGTTGAAATGGTAATTGGATTAAAGTATCGATAAACTTTAAATTGATTACAAATTTTAAATGTTAACAGTATGGCCGAATGCAAAAGGATGAAGGGAGATGGCACACAGAGCGGTTCGGTATGTAAAATGAAATTGACATTGAGTAGTATTAGTATTTAGTGTTAATGTATTGATTAAGAAACGTTTATGTTTAATATTAGGTGAAAAAAGATGTGAGGTCCAAATGGAATTCAATGAGTGATGCTGAAAGGAACCTTACATCACACAGTCAAGGAATGATAGTAAAGAATACAAAGAACG